AGCCTGTGCACACAGAGGTGACAGGGACAGAGGCACCAGGGCCCTTCCCTTCACCCCAGCCTGGGACAGAGGATGCAGAAGGGACAGGGGGTCTGTGGAGCAGCGATGGGGACAGTCCCTGGGCAGGAGAGTGGGATGCTCCTCTGCTGCATCGCTCCAGCTCAGCTTCCAGCTTTCTTTAGAGTTGAATTAAATAGGTGAGGGGGGGGTCAGTCCCACAGGCAGCTGTGTGGGGTCCCAGTGCTCCAGTTTGTACAGACAGCCCCATCCCAGACCCCACCCTGGGAACTGGCTCTTCATGGACCTCCCCATCCATCCCAAACCCCCGAGACACCGCTGACGCAAAAGTCACTGTTAAAATAGCTGCAAGTTCATGGAAAATCCCAGTCACTTTGGGGCTGGTTTCTAAACCTGTGGTAATTTGGACATGTTGAGGAACATCCCCAATGCAAACAGAGCGAGCAGTGGGCCGGGGGCTCTGAGGAAGCTGGACTTGAGCCTGGCTCCTGGCTCCTTGCTCCCCATCTCCTTTGTTTCCTTCCTGCCTCCCCAAGGTACAGGGAGTTGGGGAGCAGAGTCCCCACGCACGGGGAGGGTGACCCAGCACCAGCCCCAGCCTGGGACAGGGGGACAGAGGGGCTGCTGGGACCCACGGTGCTCAGGGGACCCACACATCTGACATGGATTCCCCATGGACAGAGTGATCAACAGACTTTTTGCTGACCAGGAGCTGGAGCTGATGGCTGGAGGTGGGACACTTCCCTCTCCCATGACTGTTGCACCAGGGGTGATGGGACAGAGGAAGGGGTTTCTTTGGGGAATTAATGGACCCAGAGCCACACAAACCAGGTGCCCTTTGATATTTGTCCAGCACGCTGCTCCGCTCACGGGGGCACTGCAGCAAGCCCCACTCTTTAGGTGATGGCCAGCAGAGAAACAGCTTTTAGCACAAGGGCTGGCAAGCTGGAGCCTGGGCTTGGCCACCTTCCAGCTGCTGCCCTTGACCAAGGGAAAAACATGTACTTTCACCCTCGGTCAACCAAATGTTTTGCAAGAACTAGAAGCAGCAGCAGCCCCGAGAGCTGGGCTGGGAGGGGAGCTGGGCCAGAAGCAGATCAAGTCCCCTTGGCCTGTCTCTGAAACAAGCCACAGCCACGGTGCTTGGTGGAGGAGGTGGCTACCACTGTCCCCTTCCGCTGTGAGTGGAGGGTGGCAGCTCAGGACGAGGGAGAGGGTCTGTGGAGAGGATTTTCATTCACCTCATTACCATCAGGAAAACCAAGGACTCAACATTTCAAGCGCAGACAGTGCCACTGAGTGATTCCAGGAGCTGGCTGCTCTGAGCCACAGGCTGCTGGTGCAGGTTCTGGCTGCCAGGGACTTCAGTGCCTTCTGCTCTCAGGGGACACTGGAGCTCTGTGGTCTGGTGGCAGATCATCACCCACCTTCACACTGGTCTTTACACCCCCGTAACCTCTGCAGAGAGCAGCTCACAGCCCTCGGTTACAAGGACTGTACCTGCTGAGGCTCAACTTTCAACCCAAGCTGCTCATTGCAGGGTCTGAAGCCCAAATAACCAACTGGTCCCAGTTCAGAGAGCCTGGATGCAAGGCTGGCTGTACACGGGTTATCCAAACAGCTCGTGTTATCTCCAAACAGCAAACACACATGTCACAGGGTGTTCTTCCACAAAACTGTAACTAAAGGAACCACAAAGCAAGTGCTCCCACGCTCCAACTCATCCCAGTACCTCCCAGCTGTCCCTGTGCAGCCATCTCACTCAAATCTACATCTACAAACGTTTATGGGAGAACATCTCCTCCAGGCTGGCTCCCTTCAAAGGACCTGCTCTTCCTGCAGCTGCCCTCGTAACCACAGAGAATTAAGCCAGTGATTGAATCCTCTAAACCAGCTACCTGACTAGAGACTTCAGGGGGAAAAGAAAATCCTCCCCCGTTGCATGATGAGAGATTCACAAGCCCCACAAAACCTGGTCCTGTCTGACTGGGGACGGGGATTTTAACTTTATGCCACTATGGGGTCATTCTGGTCAGCAGCTGGCCTTCAGCTCAGGTCTGCTATGATGCAACACCATGAATGTTGGGAGATTTTCTTCCTGCAGGCAGCTCTTGATCAATTTGGACAACAGACTGTTGGAGGAATAAACAGATGACTGCAGCGGGTAACAGAAAAACCAGGGAACAGAGGAGGTAAAACACAGCGAGGGGAGGAAGAAGCCAGCACTGGTCTGCAGCAGCTCAGTGTGGCACCTTCCAGAAGCTGCTGGACTTGCTGGGAGCCTGGACAGGACATTCCTGCACCCAGGGAGCAGCATGGGTGATGGTCACAGGGAAAGGGCGCAGATGGCTGCTGCCATCACAACACACATTCTCATCTGGTAGAGGAGCTCGGTGACAGGCCTACAAGAAAACTCAAGCTTAAGTGACAAGTTATTTAAAACAACAAAGTAAGCACTTTATTTCCATTAAGCATGTTGTTTTAGTATCACAATGGAATGATGAGAAAACATTTAAAAAAAAAACCCCAAAACAAAACCCCCAAAAAAAGTCTCTAATCCCCACAAACAGCAGGGAGGTTTTCAAGGCAATTTAAAACCAAAGGGAGTGACAGAAGTGCCAAAACAGTCCCAACATCAAGAGACTCCTCCTCTGAGAGCTGGGCAGGGGCAGGAAGGTGGAATGACACGAAGGTACGAATGTCTGAAGTAGTCTTTGGCGCTTCTGCCTCACGTTTGATACGTACACGATCCCTCGAGACAACTCCACAGAAATCTCCGGACGCAACAAAGTGCCACGTTAGTAGAACAAAACCCCAGCGAGAAGATTTGCTGTACAGTTGAGATGCCCTGTGGTTGGGCGTTAAGACACATCCTGCAAGACAGTGCTGACTCCAGCTGTGGACCTTGGGGTTGGGAGAGAAAAAAAAAACCCAAAAACAACCCCTCCCCCCCTCAAAAAAAACAAACCCAAAAGAAGGAAGCATGGTGCGTGAATCCAAGAAGATGTGCCCGTGTGCAAGACACCGTGTCCTGCAGAACTGACAAAACCAGGGAGGAGAGAGGGTGGTGGCAAAACAAAACACGGATCCGTTCCCTACAGTGATCGAAACACGAGTCCAGTGCAGTAACTATAGTTTCACAGTTCCAGGGGGCAAACTGTCATTGCAGAGTCTGTAGTAACGCAGGTCGTTCACCAGTCTGTGCACGTTCTGGGTAAACGATGGCAGATCCTGGAAGAGATCAAACGACACGTTGTAGTGCAAACAGGGCGACAGCTACGGGCACCGTCCTACAGCGGAGAACGGAAAGGAACCGAGGGGGCCAAACGCCAACGTCTACTGTCAGACACGGGAACAGACCCCTCACTCCAGAACCTGAGCCCAGGAAACCTGAGTTTCCACAGTACAGGGAGCAGGGATGGCTCCAGAGCTGCTCCACAGAGCTGACTACAGAGAACTGGAATTCCCCCACCTGGAATACTGCGTCCAGTTCTGGAGCCCCCAACACAAGAGAGACCTGGAGCAGCTGGAACAAGTCCAGAGGAGGCCACCAGGATGATGCGAGGGCTGGAGCAGCTCTGCTGTGAGGACAGGCTGAGAGAGTTGGGGCTGTTCAGCCTGGAGAAAAGAAGGCTCTGGGGAGACCTTCTAGCGGCCTCCCAGTACCTGAAGGGGCTCCAGGAAGGCTGGGGAGGGACTTTTCATAAGGGCAGTTAATGACAAAACAAGGGGAAATGGGTTTAAGCTGAAAGAGGGGAGGTTTAGATGAGATATTAGGAAGAAGTTCTTCACTGTGAGGGTGGTGAGACAGTGTCCCAGGTTGGCCAGAGAAGCTGTGGCTGCTCCTCCCTGGAAGTGTTGAAGGCCAGGTTGGATGAGGCTTTGAGCAACCTGGTCTAGTGGAAGGTGTCCCTGCTGCTGGCAGGGGGGTTGGAACTGGCTGAGCTTTAAGGTCCCTTCCAACCCAAACCAGTCTGGGATTCTGTGATTCTATGATAACTGGGCGCAGTTCACAGCACCAGCTTCTCACCGTGCAGTCAAGCACCACACGAACGGTCCTGATGTGGCCAACTGCAGCGGCAACTGCTCTCTGCATCCCTGCTGGGGGTCACAAACCCCGTAACAAGGGCCAGTTTTCCTGAAGAACAGCTGCCTTCTAGAGCCCAGTGATTCTTCCAAGGCTCCTTTCCTACCCTCAACCCTTGCTTTCAAATCTCCTCCATCTGCCATGGGAGAGGAAGCACTCAATGGACAAGCAAGCTTCAGGCAGATGGAAACCACAACCTGCTGCACTGCCATGATGTTCCAACAGGGAGGTCACAGACCCCTCCTCCCCCATTTACTCCACACTCATACAAGGGGTTTGAAAGAATCGTGAGCCATTGCAGCTACTCTGCTGTCGTCTTCAGTGTAACCCTCAAACATCTGGCCAGCAGCTGGAGCAACATTTTTGGCAAGGATCTGAGTGTCCTGCTCTAGAAAATGTCAGTCTACCCCTGTGAAAACTTCCTCCAGGAAACATATTCCCCAACTCCCACAGCATTCAGCAGACTGAGAGATGAGATAGCAGTTCTGCTACCCACAGCGATTAGTCCTTGGCTAGAGACACCGCTGAGTACAGAAGTGTTTGTGACACAAGGGGCTCTGCCTCAAAACTGTGCCCTGAGAAGCTCAGGGATGTCTGCCAGCAGCTTCCAGGAGAAGAACGCTGTACATGCTGCTGGGAACACCGGTGTTTCCCTTCTTACCCTGTCCATTTTGAAATTCCTTCCCAGCACATTTTTCTGGTTGGAGTCCACACCGTCACAACTGGCCAGGAACTCGGGGAGAAAGGCCGAGTAGAAGCCATCAAAGTCCACTGAGGCCATGTTGTAGGTGGCAATGCCAATCTCCTCCTGCAACAGGTCGTGTGACTTGTGGACAAGCACCTGAAGTAGCACGTTCACAAACTGGAACAGCATGGTTGTCCGGAAGATCTTCTGCACAGTGAGAGAAGCACACAGTTAGGTGTCTCCACACCACGAGAGGGGTGACAGCAGCCAGCACAGAGCTTCAGAAATACAAACTCATCGAGGTCAGAGCAGGCAAGTGAGCACAGCTGCACAGAGCCCCTTCAACACCAGCAGCTCCTGAGCTACCACAGCAAGGTCTGCAGGCTCTGCTGAGCACAGAGATAATTTTCCAAACTACAAATGGCTACAACAAATGAGATTAATATCAACTTTCAAATTAACACTGAGTTTGGCCACACTTACCTCAGGCATCCGGCCCAAGTTTTAAGCATTGGCATTTAAGCAAAAAGCATCAAGTCCCATTCAAACTCCAGCCAGTTTCAGCCCTGGGCAGAGCTCCTGAAAGCCAGGGAGCCTGGCCAGGGAGCAGAGTCTGCAACAGGCAGCTGTTAACACCATGAGCTGTCCTTCAGCTGTGACCACAGATGCTGTCACAGGCTAACCAGAAGGGCAAGACCTCAGATTCCAACTTTAATCCTTCATGACAGCAGCTAACAGGTCTAAATCAGAGGGTCTGGAGGATGGGTCCTACATGACAGAGATGGAGACAACCACCTGGCAGTGACTGACTGTAAATACTTGGACACCTGCTGCTGACCCAGGTGAGAATGGGGGAGGGACTCTGCCACTGTCCCACTGGTGATCCCAGTTTCTGCTTCCTCAGATAAACTGCACTGTCACTGTGCGTGCTCTTTGCTGTCCCTCGTTGTCACAGGAGGGAACACACCAAGGCTTTGCTTTCACTGACTGGAGTTGGGATCCCTCCCGTGCCCAATGCAGCAGCATCAGGGTAACATCTCTCTGACCAGCAATGGATCCATGAGGATGAGAGTAACCAACCAAAGGTTGTGGCATAAAAGCCTCCAAATCCTGACCTTCCATTTCTGAGTAGTTTAAAATAAGTCTCAGAACAGCTCACACTTATTACCACACACGGAGTGTGCACTGGTCACCTGGGGACCCACCTTGTGGTACAGCTTCTGCTTGGTGTTCAGCGTCTCCAAGTAGAAGAGGTTCTGCTTGAACAGGTGAATGTCAGGTTGCAGGAAGGACTGGCCAAATGCCTACAAACAAAGCAGAATTGAAGGAAGGGGATTGATATCACCATGAATATCAGACCTGCCAGGCAGAACAACATCATTTTCACCCTGACATCAGAACAAACCCCTGGGAGCTTCTGATACTCCTCTGTGCAGCAAACTAATATGAGAGGCAGTAGTTTGAGTCAACCGTGCTGCTGCTGCCAGGCCAAGAGGAATGAAGATATTTTAGTGGATACATGGTGGTGTCCTTGCACAACAGCTGCTAAGCTGGGTCTGTTGGGAACACAGGGGCCAAGCTTGCACTGCAGGAGCTCAGATACTCAGACAGACACTCCCTTGGCAGGCAGTTTGCTCATGAAGGATTCAGTTGCTTCTCAGGGATGCTACCAGAGGTAGCACCAGGGAGTGTAAACAGAACCAGAAAACACAGGTTGGTTTTGTTTTCAGTCTAAGTCAAGAGACCAAGGTGCCTGGCAGATGTGTTTAACCTTATGGCACTAAATGAGAAAGAAATTAGAGATGGGATCTGGGAGGTGCTACAGAAGCAGGAAGGAGCCTCAGAACAAAATCTGCCAGACCCCACTGAACTGGTCTGGTAGGCCTGCACAGACCCTGTGAGAAAACATCTTTTACACCCTGAGCTCCTCTGAAATGCTGTACAGATGATGCAGGCAGGTGAGGTAAGCTCTGTACAGAGGCAGGCAGCAGAATTTTACCAATTGCTGCTCCAAGGCAGCACAAACAGAGGATTTTATTTCCCCATATCAGCCATTTATTGTTAGATGGAGAAAAAAAGGTCCAAGTGCCTTCAAGACTAAACCAATTCTGGACTCAGATCTCCTGTGGAAACCAGCACACAAACTAGTAATATCCTCAACACAAAATACTGGCTGTTCTCACCATGGAGAACATTTAAAGAAAAACCAGGACACAGTGTTACACTGCTACAGGGGACAGAGACACCTGGACAGCCCTGCACAGGGACCAGCCCGGGCCTCACCCACATCAAAAGATGTTGGGATTGGGAAACTCCAGAGAGAAACACCAATCCAGTGCATGTCAGTGCCAGAGCCCCCTCTTCACTCGTGATTTAGAGAGGCACCAGCCTGCACAAACACTCCACGATGGGGCAGCTCTGCAAAGAGTCCTCCCATGTGAAGTCCAAGCACACAGCCCCCTGCTCCGGCGTTCACTGTCCTCGGAGGAGCAAACCTCTGCTCTGAGGCTGCAGAACACGGTGTGAGCACGCTTCTGTTTACATGGAGCTGGAGGGCCCCACACCAGGTGCTCTGATAACAGATGAGAAGGCTGTTTGTTTTTTTTTTTTTTTCCTGATTTTACTTAAGAGTTGAACTACCTGTTTTGGGGACAGTTCTTACATCCAGAAACTGCACAGGAACTCATTTGGCCAGCTCTGACTTAAGTAACATGTGGAATACTGTCTGTTACTCATAAGAATTTGCTGTGCACACGCTCCCATACTGCCTCTGCTTTCCCTATTCCCCAGGCCAAAGCCTGTAGGATATTACCCCACTCACCCTTCCCTACTAGATCTGATGGTGCAACATAGAACAAGCCCATTTCACAGAATAACAGAACCATGTAATGGCCTGGATGGGAAAAGCCCTTTGAGCTCATCAAGTCCAACCATGAACCCAACACTGACCGTCCCCGACTAACCCATGTCCCTCAGCACTGTGTCTACACGACTCTTCAATCCCTCCAGGGATGGGGACTCCACCACTGCCCTGGGCAACCCCTTCCAATGCCTCAGAACCCTTGCAGCAAAGAAATTCTTCCTCACAACTGCCCTTGGCACAACTTTCCTGCACTGACAGTTTGCCCTAGTGCCAAGCACAGGACTTGTAACAGAAGTAAATGGGTCAGTGCCAGTAATATATTTGTAGGTGAGATGCAGAATTAACATTCCTTCCTCACTGCTTCCTCCCTGGCTCAGTGAGGCACTGTGCCTCGTGAGCACATCAGCAACACCACTCCACCAGCACTTTGATTTTCAGCAGTTCCTGAAGGTAAGACCTCGCTCAAGACACGCTCTCATCCCCACCAGCCACACGTTTAATGCACTGCCATGAGCAGCACGTGCTTCACTGCAGAAAGGGTTCTGGACAACCACGGGAGTAGTCAAGTTACCTGCATAATGGCACTGAACTGGGCTTCGTTCTCCATCTGCTCTTCTGCTACTTCTCTTTGGACACTAGCCAACACACTAGATTTGAAGAAGTACCGCCAGTTATGGTGGAGGATACGGAAAAGCAACTCGAACAACTCTGCTTTCACATCAGGAGATGAGCGCTAGGAGAAGAGAACAAACCACTCAAAGCAGGCTCCTGTGCTGGGATCCCACTCAGCAGCACCCTGCCCACCCAGGGCAGCACTTTGCAGCCAAGGTCCCAGAGCATCCAAGTATTTCCCCCTAAAGAAGACACCAGACTCACCGACTGTTGGATCATGCTAAGAACGCATCACTGAGTTCTGAGTTTTACCTCCTGCTTTAAGCACATCTGTAATTTTAGCCTCTAAGCATTCCTGATAAAATCCCCCCAGCCACGCTGCTTCCCATTCCCACTGCCTCATCACCCAGTTTTCCCTGCACAGGGACTGGCATTTACAGCTCTTGGACAGGAAAAAGCCTTATTGCTCCCCCAGCCCCAGCAATGCCTTCTGGCCCTTCCTCCACCTCGTGTGAGAACAGCCCTACCTCTGCGATGATGGGGTAGACCTGCTCCATGCACAGTGAGATGACGCTGGGTAGAAAAGGTTTGAATACTTGGCCTGGTTCTTGTACCACCACTTGCAGTATTTTCAGAAACTTCTCCACCACCCGACAGCCGGTGCTGCCCTCGTGGAGGATGCTCTCTGCCAACTGCTCCCTGTGGCAAAAACAAAGTCATTGCACAGGAACCTTCCCAGGGATCTGCATTCCTG